AAAAGGTAAGAGATTGAACTTCGATATCACTGAGGTTAAGCATTTTAACTAATATACAAGAAGATCACGGGTTTACTTCCCGTTTATTTAAACGAAAATATCCGGTCTTACTATTCTGGATAGAAATTCGGTCAAACTTTATGTTCGGGTAAATAATTGACGCCAAGTTATTTAATATTTGTTAACAACAGTGAGAGGCTTCCTTCTTTCTTCTATACCAAATGTTTGTTTTAATAAAAAATATATGCCTTTGATAATAGATTAGTTGGTGTGATATATGTTTTACATATTTTCTGCCAGCGCGTTACTTCGTGGTGTTAAGGTTAAGAACATAAAGAAATCTATACTAATAAATTTTCTACATAGTGATTTCCGATAACATCGGGTACATGAAAAAGAAAGTAAAATTGATTAACCAACTCAGAGGTAAAATGTATTTATGTTTCAGCGGCCAAAGATGCCATGGAAGGCAATTTTCACTTCTAAACCAGCTTGGGCTGCTTTTGTCGCCCATATTGGTACAACTACCACATACTTGTTGTTATTAGCGCAAATCCCAACCTATTTGCATTACATACTTGATGTCAACATTAAAAGTGTGAGTACCGTCACAAATATCACATAATTATAACCAGTAACTATATGTATTCCAAAAATTAAAAATTCGGTGTTATTTAACTTTTTCATAAATTGTGATGTTTGATGGTTGAATTCGAACATTTGGAATAATAATGTGAAAGTAGTAGTAATATCAAGAAATTATTATCCATACCTCGGGACCAACGAGTGGTAGGGGACCAACTAGAAGTCGGTTAATTAAAAACTGAAACGTATCTGCCATACAAAGTTGATTAAACGCAGACCATCCAATGGTTGTCATGTGTTTATAGTCACCAATGAAAAGCTTGGAATCCCGATCGCAACAAAATTTAATGTGTGATGAAATATGAGTAATAAATGAAACAAGGGTTAATTTTCGACTTGGTCACTATTCTTGCAAAGCAGCGATAAGGGCACACTCGTGCTTGTTGACAAGGGTCCTCCAACACCAAACCCCAAGCCTACCAAGAGAGAAAAATGTGGGCGTACCCTAAGGCTCAACGCACACTGGCGCAGAGTCGAAGCGTAGCGTCGCATCCTGTTTTTCAACTACAACGCCTGGCGACGCGCGTCGACACTCGCATTAGTGTTCCTGGATCACAGTGTGGTCGCTCGTCGACGCTTGACTCCATGTTTGCATAACACAAATTTGCACCTTAATTTTGGGAAAATAGAGATGAATATGCTATAGGCGAAAAACATGACGCGTCGCGACGCTTCGACTCTGCGCCAGTGAGACTTGAGCCTAAGACATTAAGTTGACAAGTCCCACATACGCCTGCAATTTCACCAGCACCTGTCACACAGTATTGCTCATATGACTGGCGGCAGAAATAGGCATGGTGGTAGTACTTCCATTTGCGAACTCCTTTGCAAGAAGCTCCGCTACTACTACTACACAAGAAAAACCCGCGGGTTATAGGACCGACCTACTGCGAGCACCTACCTGCCGAACTAAAAAAGTCCCTTTACTCTGTAACAGTAATTCAAAGTAAACAATTAAATTATTATATTTATTGACGAATTTGGCATTCACTGTGTTATTATACTTTAATTGACATTTATTATTTGTTAAGAATCCGTACTGACATTTCCTGTATACAGTGCCTACGCTTGACATTGTTATTTCAATTCAATTATTTATTATTCAATAGTTTCTAGTAGGGTAGTTGGTCCGAGGTCCATTCTCTTGCCATTTATTATTTGTAAGATATTTCAGTTATGGGTTACTATTGTATCTTTCGAAATGGAACCAATTTTTTATTATATTAAGTGACGGGACGAGCAAGTCGTGCGCTTAAACGACAGTTGTAATGCCACTCTAAGATATCGCAAAAATCTGAGGAGTACATACACACACTGACAGACAAAAAGGTGATAAGTTCCAGGTGCGTGTACTTTCACCAGCACCCTTAAAGCGTTTGCGCACGAAATCCGAAATCCATCTTCCGAAGTAGAGAATACATTCAGTTTGGATAATTATATTCGCGGAATGAAGTACCCTTGTGCACTGAGTCCCATCTGAATCCGAAACAGCGGTGTGGCGGCGGGTTGGAGATATCGATACATGTTGTATGAAATGAAATTGAAACATTCAATTGGTAATAATTATAAAATTTCTAGTTATCTCGCCAAATTTCATGGTGATTATTATAACATGTTCCTCTGAACAGTTGGTTCGTGAGGAGAATATGTACTCTGAAATTATTTGCATCTTCGTACGTAGGTCATGAACGATTCTAGAATGGCCAGAATTTTGAATGCCTAGGTGCAAAATTGATATCATTATTTTCTCGTATTTGGATCGGATGCAATGAGCAAATGACCATAGCGTTCAAAATCACGACGCGGTAATGTCCACGTTACTGCTTGGCGGCATAAACAGGTTTATTGGCAGTACTTTTCTGGACGTACTCTTTTATAATGAGCTTTACTGCTGTTTTATTACAGAGTGGTGTTTTAACATCTCTACCGTATCTAGCAAACTCCGTGGCATCAATCATTTTTGGGCAGCTCTGCGATTACTGTACCAACAACGAAATTCTCTCCCTGAAGCAGGCGAGAGTGATCTCTAACAATGTTGGTATGTAATTATTGCATTAGATACTGGTAACTTTCTTTTCAGTTACTTTATTGACAGGTTCGCCTAAAGTCGATAATTGACACACATTGTACTTCTATAATTTGAATAAATTTATTATGATTGCTGTGATGTTCAACCCTGTAGTTGCCAGTTTAGATTAAAACGCCTTTTAATTTCGGTCATTGACATTTTCAAAGGTTTATATAGGGTTTTTCAATAAGAACTTTGTTTTGTAAATCAAAATAAAACAATAAATTTAGATGACAATGATTCAAATTTTTATTGTATTAATAAAAGTAAGGTTTGGCAATTATTAATGAAAAATGATATCTGATAAATGTCCACCACGACCACAGTTACAGATGTCGATTCTTTCCATAAAGTTGTTAATCACTTTTTGAGAAAATGGTGGGTCTATTTGGTTAATCACTTCAAAAATTGTGAGTTTTAAGGCTGCAATCAATTCGATTGGCTCCGTATAGACTCTGTCTTTAACATAACCCCATAAAAAATAATCCAACGGTGTTAAATCATATGATCGAGCTGGCTACTTAACGGCTGAATTTCGTGAAATTATCGGGAAATTTGGTTTGCAATAAATTAATTCATTGTTTCGGTGGCAATGTGACTTGTGCCGTTGGCATTGGGCCGTTTTTTTCCGAAAATTCGGCTGGAAATGCGGTAACGGTGAATGGATCACGCTATCGCGAGATGTTAACAACTCAATTTTGGCCTAGCATTGATGACATGGATATCACTGACATGTGGTTTCAACAAGACGGTGCCACATGTCACACAGCCAATGAGACGATCAATTTATTGCAAACCAAATTTGCTGATCGCGTAATTTCCCGAAATTCAGCTGTTAAATGGCCAGCCAGATCGTGTGATTTAACACCACTGGATTATTTTTTGTGGGGCTATCTTAAGGACAGAGTCTATACGGAGCCAATCAAATCGACTACAGCCTTAAAACTCAAAATCCGTGATGTGATAGCCGAAATAGACCCGACATTTTGCCAAAAAGTGATTAAAAATTTTGATGAAAGAATCGACTTCTGTCAGCGTGGTCGTGGTGGACATTTGCCAGATATCATTTTTCATTCATAATTGCCGAACTTTTCTCTTTGTAATACAATAAAAATTTGAATCATCTTCATCTAAATTTTTTGTTTTATTTTGTTTTAGAAAACAAAGTTCTTGTTGAAAGACCCTTTACCTACTTAATGGTATTTCTTTAGGACGAGAAAAATTAAGCAAGATGCTAATGAAAACAAATAATTTACATAGAACGTATTTTGTAATAATGATAAAGAAATAAATTTCTTCATACAAAATATCGGCATGTAACATCTGTAATTTTCGTTAAAAAATCGTTATCAAATCACATGTTTGAAGTTTCGTCGCCAACGACGATCTTTACACAGCTGGCTGTTGTTTTAGCAACCGTCATCCCTGCGATCTGCTTGGCGTCTCTGTCGTTCACATCCAACACGGTTTTGGGCGTCGCTTTCTTAGTGCTCGCTCTTGCTGCTTATGCCGGCGCTCATACTGGATGGATGGTATAGTTACAAAATTTTCAAAAATACTTTGATGTTTATATTAATCTAAGCTTTAAGTACAGGCACATGCATATGAGGTTTTGTAGTTAAAACAGTAACTATAGTTTGATTCGATTAATTACTTAATTTTTTAGTTGAACTACATCGACTTGGCTCCGAACTTCAGCGGCGCTCTAATGGCTATTGGCAACACCTTGATGAACATCACCGCACTGGTTTTACCAGTCTTTGTATCACGAGTTGTTGCCGATGTGGTGAGTTACATTAACATTTATATTATTTTAAGATAAATAATACACGTTAAGAAATGAAATACAAGGTTAAACAAGTGAAATTGGTCGTCGCACCAATTTGTCTGTTATAGTTTTATTTACAAGTATCGTCTGAGATAATTTCTGTTTAATTTATCAGCGAGATCCATACCAATGGCGCATCGTGATGTTCAGCGTAGCGGCGTTCGGGGTTTTCTGCAACACGGTGTACATTTGCTTCATGTCCACTGATCTTCAACTGTGGAACGACGCGGAGTATCACGCTGCAGGTCGGTTTTATACACAAATATAGTCGTTTCTACTGAGTTGCGAACGGGACACGGCACTTAGAAGACAAGTGCGACTGCGACCAAACTACGGCCCTGGATTTCCTTTAAGAGAACGTTGTCACTTTACCATCGCACAAAGTCAACGAATAATTTATTCCGTAGTTAAAATAAATTTACACTTGAAAATAATTCAGATCTTGTAAATGTACCATGTAATGGAATGTACCATATTTTAATACGTTCCTTCTTTAATCTTTTCACATTTATTTGTTTTTCAAATAAATATAGATTGACTGTTTTATTTTTCAGCGCAAGAAGAAGAAGCCTCAGGGATCAGCAAAAAATCCGAAGATCTATCCAAAAAGTAGTTTATTTTAAATAACAATGTTAAATTTTTAGAAGAGATGTTACTTATAATATTTAGATTTGGTTTTGAATCGACAATACACAAGTATACGCGATGAAAACAAAAACATAGTCTCACCGCTAATGAATAATAATCGCGGAATACTAATAACATTTTTTTCAGAATATTTACGTTCTATAATCTAGAAAACCATGGTAAACCATGGTAAAGCTTTTGTTATTATATTGGCGATGATATTTGTGAGCTAAGTTAATTTGTAACTTTAATTTTTGACTGATCTTAGGAATTATTTACATGCATTCAACGTCAACCAACCTTAGCATCTTTTCAACAATATTTGAACACGTGGCATTTCATTTGTTTCGACGGCATATTTCAATAAAAAGTCGAAGGTGAATTCGTTATAGTTGAATATACGCGTAGCGGCAGAAATGGATAAGGTGGCAGTACTTCTTTGGGCGAATTCTTTCATAAGGAGCTCTGCTGCTACTACTTTGATAAGGCAATAAGATTTTTCAAACGATTTTCATTAATTTGTAATAGAATTAACATTAACGTATGTATGTTGGTTTCAAAATGAACGTCATTGTCATCTTTCACAAACTAACAATCGGCACAAATGATTCGTTATAATGTGTCTGTAACTTACTATTGATGTAATTATGCACGGGAATCAACAAAATCTTTAAGATGGGTTACCGGAGGAGGAGCGGGAAAAACTGTTTTGCTAGATCCAATGGTTTAAGTATATGTTATTAAATAACGGTTTTACAAAAAATATACGACACACCTGAAGAAATTGTCTGCATGATGTACTTTACCCGATCATATCGTTATAGAATCCTGTAATCAGGCTAAAATAAAAGTGACGCTCACGCGATGCGCTCCTCCTACCGTAAAATGGCGGCAATTTGTTTTCGCAAATTAGAAAAGCATTCAGTTTAAAGACAAGTTTTTATAAATAAAAATTATTATTCTGCATTGCTAAATAAATACCCTCCGTACTACAACAAAAACATCTCAAATAAAATGAAGTAACACACCGCAAATCCTGCACTTAAAATGCACTAATTAAATTTTTGGTGTACTTGGATAAATATGATAATATCCCGTTTGAGTGGTTCTAACGTTTACCATGAAATTACTCCTTAAAGTATAGTTTATAAACATTTATATTCAGGGTAAACTTAAAAAATGCTACTTACGGTATGTTTTCAATAAATAAACACCGAAATCACCAGCCCAAACAGTAACACACACGATTGTCGTGACGTATTTTTGAAGTTGTTTATTTTTTTTAAATGACAGACCCAGGCATCAAAAACTTTATGTTTTGCTAGAGTAGTTACCGAAATAGCAATTAATATTAGTTTTTTACCTGTTATAACTTCGATATCCGATAAATCGGTATAAAATCATCACCGGCACCTCTAGGTGTGGTTGCGTCTACGGCTGCAAGTATCGCGTGAGCGGCTATAACGAATTATTTAAGAATAAAATATCTAACTTTGCACAATATTTTTATATGGAGATATTTCTCTTTATGTTACCAGAGAATCTAGTAAATTTTGGTTTTGACCTGAAGCCCTGTAGTTACTAAATTGATATTTATCCACAAACTTGTAAATTGCTCAGCGGTTTAACGACACGCCGCGCCACCCGCTGCCCCGTCAGTCGATATCAAACGCTTGTCTAAAATATGAACTCGCGTTGAAATACCTTGTCTTAAGATATATAATAATAATCGGAGATTTAAGCTCAATTACGTGTTTTATAAAGAGGGACGGCGAAAGCTGACCCAATAATTATAAAATTAACGAAGAGCCGTTTAATGACTTTGCTAATATGATTTTACGTTTTAGATAGATTTATCGATATATTTTTGTATATTTTTAGGGAGTAGTAGAGTAGTCGGGAGTAAAGAAATTGTAAAACAAAATATTTTTTGAAATTGTAAATCTAAATTCCTTCAATCCGGCCGGATTCGAACCGACATCTTCCAGCATACCGTGTCAGACGCTATACCAATCAAGCCACGGAACGAACCAGCGGACCTCACAAATTTTTCTATGTGCTTGTTGTCGTGGCTTTGTATTTTGGTATTTCAACGACTTTTTAGTCGTAGTGCCATGTATGAGAAATGTATGAAAGTTTTATCACCTTGTCAGATACCTTTACAGCTACCGGCCCTGGCGAGAGATGTCGCTATTCACTGTATTTTAAATTTTTATTGAATTGATATTATTTTTGTATAATTTTTTTGTGAGTGTTCGATCTTTAAATAATTACTACAAACTAGTGTAGTAATTTCACAAAAAAAAAATTGAATATCAATTCAATAAAAATTTAAAACGTAACTTATATCAACTTTATTATCCCAGCTTCTACAGGCTGTATCCAATTGGCTTTTTTGATGCTTTGACAATGAATCACAAGTATTGATAGGTCTCTTTAATGCACGTCGTGAATACACGGGATGTCGCCATCCTTCTTTTGGAAATGGTAAAAAAAATCAACGTCAAACCTTACCACCGCCATCGTCCATGTAATATTGTGCCTCATTGTTCGACAAAGAGAAATACGCATTGACTCAACAAACCACACATAACCAACTCGACCTAAAATGAATATATATCAAATAAGTCATTTGTTTATTTATTTATTTACTGTACAGGAAAACCAAAACACATTTTGTAAAATGGAAAACACAAACAAAAGGCACTGCTTATTTCTATAAGAAATTTCTTCCTGCAGACCAAAATACAGGACACAATAATTACGATAACGGGATTACGTGCACAACAAAACAAAATTAAAATATGTAATAAAATAATAATAAAGAAAAACAGCAAAAATATTAAATTACTACGGACTATATAAATACTTAGAGAAATAGATATTTGATATTATAATATCTACAAAATGGATGGAACAGAGGATAAAACGGACATGTTATGTTGACATAATATAAATCATACACATATATACATATATAAATCATACAATAACATAAACATGTTATTGTCTTTGTTTAACTATTGCGTGCCGTCTTAAGCCAAAAGAGATAGCATTACATTGGTCTGTGTCAAACATGAGAACCGAAAATACGTAACGTCATCTTAAATGTCAACCGTGTCCATTTCGCAGTTCATGAGGTACATGATGTGGTTGTCAAAGGGAAGTACATCAAATGTCAAAATAACTGTTTTCCACGTGTTTTATTGAATTATTCGCATGTATTCATTGACTTACAATTATATGTATTGTAATAAAATTAACAAAAATATTGACAGTGAGAACAATTAAGTACTAATAATAATTCGTCGCTGCAGTGTTACGGGATGCGGCGTTTGAAAAAGCGAAGATCGACCGAATGTAACATTGTACAGGCACGTGTTATTTTTCTGTCTGTAAATCACACAAAAGTCCAAATATCTCATGTAATTAGACATATTTAAGTAGTTTATTCATAAATCTTGCCAAGTTTTGTTGATCAAGTTTGTTTGATTTCTTCAGATTGCCTGTTTGTTTGTATATTTTGATGATTGTTGTTAACGATTATTTTGAGTTAGTGTTGTTCTTGGAAGCGTACGCGTAAGCGTATCGATATTCTGTTATTAAAATAATTCATTACGAGGTTTTTATTATTTTATTATTATTGTTTTTACTATTTCAAGTTTACCTACAAACCAAAAAAGATAAAATAATGGATAGAAATCATACCGCCGTATATAAACATTGAATCAAAGACCATTTTCATTTATTCGCTTCATTTTGAAGAGTCAAATTTTAACATAATTTTGAATGTAACTAGATTACAGGATAATGCAATTCTATCATTAGGTGTATTGGTAAATATTTTTATATTTAATTTAGATTAAACAAGACTCATTTACCAAGCACTCTCAATTCCTGAAAACAAAATTATCCACTCGTTTTCGGTTTTTTCCCAATGACAACTCTAACTACTAAAAATTATTATTTTATAAAGCCAGCAATACAATGACTATGTTGGTCCAACGTTGCCGGGTGAAGGCCAATACCAACGTATAGACAGCCTATTTGCTTTGCCTTGCCTTGCCATCGTTGGGTGTCACTCGCCTAGCTGACCGAGTGAAGGCGAGGGCTATCGTGTTCGTTTGACGTGGCCTGTCGCAACTTGCAGTCGCTCGTGACTACTTGTCTCACGTCGTAGAAGTGTTCACTTTTCTATACAAATCAAAGGCCAATAGTAGTCAATTGACATTGTATAATAAGACATTTGCATGCTATTAAATATATACGATAATGTTGTTGCATGTCGATAATGACTCATCGATAGATTATGGTACGACACTAAAGAATCCGCCATTTGTTCGTTCAATTTTTGTTTAGTTCCTTCCATAGTTAGGGCACCTCCTTTCTTTTATTTTTTTTTCCATCCTCAAAAGGATAAATAGTGCTCCTTTACTGTCATTTTAAAGATAGCTCAGGATTTACTGTCATGTACAGTAATGGGAAGTGCGTTCTAAAGTCTGACCGCATGAACAGTAAAGGAATGAGAATAAAAAGGCAGAAAAGATAACGGCACTCCTCTCATTTCGTGCAAATTCCCAGAACTGGCGGGAATATTTTTATTTTCATTTTTTTGCCTATAACAAGCGTCACGATAAAAAACCATGTAAATTTTATTTATACTAAATTATACGCAAAATTGGCCGAGATTGATCCTACTTTTTATTTTATCATGGCATGGTATTGACGAAAGAGATCTAGTAATGACATTAGCTACTATGGTAATGGAAAAGTGATGCTGGTAATGAGAATTAAATAAAAACACAAATCTAATCTGCGACATAGTTTTGTATTGATAGGTTTTTATATTGAAAATTAAAAAGTGACATTCTAAACACTATATAGAGACAGAGAGATTCTATTGTCATTTAACATTTGTCATTTCCATACAAATTCCACCAAAAAAACCAAATTTATAAGGGAGTGACAACTGTCAAATAGGCCAAATAGAATCTGTCTCTCTGTTACAATTTAACTGAAAACAAATTCTTATTAAATTTTTATAGAATTGCGTACTACAAATCAACATTTCGATATTTTTCCATGAAAATTAAACGCTT